GAAAGAAAGCGGTGCAAAGAAAAAGAAGTAGCTTTAAGCTTTTCTTACTTGTACTTTCATCGCAGACTTTTTCAGAAAGAGGTGGTTCAAAACGTCCATCAATATTGCAACTATATGATTGGTATGTGGTTACTTGCCGATTGGCAAGACAAGGAAGCACCACTTCTTGACTGATACTAAGCGAATGATACGGTGGTAAAACAATGTACTTTTGTCTGGCATAATCGCTTTGAAAGTCTTTGAAGTAACATTTTGGGCTCATACAGTATTCTAAAATAAAGATATTGTAAAAAAAAATCAAAAAACGGCTCAACTGACACATAGTGACAAGCAGATTGTTTTGTTTTGTTAGCTATTTTTTAGTTTACAATGTAAACTAAAATAAGATTAATCTTAAATGATTATTACTCACTGGGAATCTTACAAATAGCATCAACATTCTTTGCTTTTTTGTCGTTTGGCCAACTGTACAGTTTTATGAGCTTATAAGCGGTTGAATTAAGTAGGCTAATTACATCCACTGCCCGAGCTTTTTTGTAAGATTCTGTCAGTTCAGCGTAAACGTAAATTAAGTTGTTCACCATAGCAATTTTACTAAAAAATAAAAAAACTTTTTTTTCATTTTGTTTTTGTGTATGATTCCTTTTTTTTAATTTTTAATATTAACTTTGGTAAATTATGAAAATAAATTCAAAACACAATACATTTTTTTCTTTTTTTTCTGTTTATTTAGCTATAGAGTGGTGAATATACCATTGTTGAGGTTTATAAAATTGATAACACAACTCTTTTTACTGAAGACTTTTTTTTATAAATACCGTAATTTGTTTTCCTTTTAGATGTATCTTCTTAAACCGTAATATCTAAATAACTGTTTTCCCAGCAAGTGTATCACTAAATAAAATAAACCAAAAAGTTTTAAAATTAGTCTAAATTCAGAAGAACTGCGATTTTTTTAACAGTGCAGTGCTAGGCGAAAATGTGCTAAACTTAAGTAATTTAGTACGATAGCTTAATTCCGCTACCAGCACAGACTTTCAAACGAATCAGAACAGAAGAAAAAAGGCCGTGTTTTTATAACTTGTTGACAATTTATAGATAAGCCTAGGAAGGATAGAAATTTAGATACAATTAAAACTGCTAGCAATTTTTATAAAATAGAGTTTTTTTTTAATTTCTTTCTGAAAACACCTTTAAAGTCAAAGCTGTGGACATCTTAGGAACAGTCAATTTGTTGAAAGCATTCTAGTCCTTGTTAAGAAACGCAAAAATTTTCTATTTTTAGCATGAACAAGTTGACAGGCTACTATTGTAATGTTCATCAAAATATGAGACTTGAAAGATTGAGGCGACAAGGGCACAACTTTGGTTTCAACTGCTAACTGAATCTAGTCGTACAAGCCTGAAAACTTGTTCAATTCTTCCCAGCTAAATTTGCTAACTCGTTTGAAATAGCATAAGAGAGAGTGCACTTAGTGAATTGTAACTCGTTTAGAAAAAAACAGGTTTTTTTTCTCATTTTTTAATTCACGTGAGTATGGAGTTTATTCTTAGTCAGTTCAAATAGACCTGATATAATTCAACAGTGAAAAATTCTTGCTCTCAATGCTCTTATTCATTTGAGATCTTTCTTGCCTTTCTACTGCCTTTCTATTATTACAAATCTGGAAAGGAGAGTAAAAATGTAAAAAAAATCAGCAACCATACAGCGACTGCTAAAGAATCAGCACAGGCTTTTGCAGCACATCATAATTTATCAGTTTTTTGACTGTTCTTTTACAGCGTTAACTCTTCGTTGTTTTTTGCTTTCTCCAGAAACAACAAGTGAATGAGATTTTTGACCAATTACCTTTGAGGAATGATAAAAGTCTTCCAAAAATTTAACAAACTTTTCCGTATAAACAACTATAATAGCAACAAGGAAAAAAACCTGGCATTTTTTAACAACTTTACAGTCTCCGGTGATTCTAGATCGTCTTTTCCGATCATAGTGAAATACTCTCGACATTGTGATAAAGCATCGACGTAGTTTTTAATGTTCATAGAACTTAAAAACTTATAACAGAAGTCTTCGCCTTCAATCCAATCGCCTATAGGACACGGCCTCGAACAACCTTCTTCGTCTTCAAAGGTTTCAGCATTATTAGCAGCTAGCGACATCATTTTCATTAGTGAAAACAATAAGTAACTTACAACTTTTTTTATGCACAATATATAGCTATTATTAACTTTTCTTGCATTCAGACCTAAAAATTTAAAAAACGACAAACTTTTATGGACAAAAAGGTTGAAATAAGTTGTAAATAAACTTTTGAAACATTTTCAATTTAATTAGATTCAGAAAAATCTATGAAAAACTGGTTACAGAAGTGAAGTTCCTTTCCGAGTCACATTTAGTTCAACTGACGTAAGATAAATATCAGCTAAGGAGAACATATATAAACTCTTTTTTTTTTTTTTGATTATAGCACATTAGAATCATCAAACATTTATGTTATGGTAAAACAGTAATTCAGCAAAGTTTTAAAATTTATTTTTCGCTACTTATATGTGACGTTATTTTTATCAACTTCGCTTCTTACAAAATTAATTGTGCAATGTGTACTGAAAATGTTTTCGAAATTAAAATTCCGTTTTATGAGTTTTGATTTAGATTGAAGAAAACTTGAATGATTTGTGGTCATTGTGTCAGCAAATTTTTTCTAATACAAGGATAACATATATTGTATAAAACATACCTGGTCCTGACCATAATTTTTTCGTTTGCTCGTCTGTGACAGCATTAGTGACTGCATTCTTATCTTTCGATAAGTTTATTTTTGTTGAAACCTTATATTTTGAAGTTGTTACACTGGCAGCTGTCGTGTTAAACGTTGATGATACAGAATATGAGTTTACCTAAAATATAGTGTGAAAAAGTTTTTTGATTTTTATTTATTTTGTCTAAGTTTTCGAAAATAAACTTTAAACTATTGAGCAGCGCAAAGATTCTCATCAGTAGAAATGATTGTTGTAAAGCTGCAGGTATAGCATAAAATTAGGTTTGGAAGAAAAATAAAATTAAAAAACTCTCTGTTGAGCCGTCTTATATTTGATAATTCTGTCGTGCTGTTTGGGACTAAACTAGAGTTTTTTTT